TGACTTCCATAATCTTTTCTGTTTATAAATAATAAATAAATATTTAAATTATATCCAGTTATGGAAGAAAAAATAATAATTTTAAGTTATATTAGTTATCATATCAGCCACCACTCGCAAAGCTGATTTTTTATTTAAATCTAATAACTCTAAATAAATAATAAATATTACTTATTTTATAATTTATCGTAAAATATTAAAAAGAAAAAAATATAAATTAATTACTTGTTTTTATTAAATTTAAAATAAATATTATTAATTTATATTTTGCATTATATTAAAACAATATTATAATAATTATACGTAGTAATGTGAGTTTGTATTATACAGTGGTATAAAACTATATTATAGAAGGTATTATTCACATGGTGTAAAATTATTTTATACAGACAATATAAAAAAAAAAAAATGAAAGCATTATTTTTAGTAACTCAACTATTATTTTTTTAGTTGTACTTATAGAATGGATCTCCAATAAAGTACAGTATTATTATAAAAATTAAAAATATACAATATTATTGTAATCGTATCCATTTAGAATTCATGTGTTAAAAATTACTAAAATAAATTTATTGTGCTATTATAATATTCAAATATTATTTATTTATAGGTAAAATGAGATAGATAAACTATAAAAGTATTAAGTATAGTTTTATCTTTATTTCTATTTAAAAATATGTATTTCTATGTATAATATACATACGTATGTTACCTATATCATGCATCTATATCATTGCAAATCGAAAGCATGACCAAATATTAATTTGGTGAATTAGGTGAATAATTCTTGTATTTCCTATGTGTTTTTTTTTAATTTTTTCTAACTTTTTAGCCATTTTTTTCAATTATTCCATTTTAAAATAATTTATATTTCATAATTAACAATAGCGTGATAACCTTTGTTAAATTCCTTATAGTTTAAGGTACTACAAGGTTCTATACGATATAATACTAGTATAATACCGATATAATATGATTATACAAAAAATAAATAAAATACCGTATTTTAACATCTCTAATTATAGGTATTTATATTTTGTATAATTAGTCTATTTTTTTATAAAATAATTTAAAATTTAAAATATAAATTAAAATAATTTAGAAGATATTTTGGTAGTCATTTAAATGATCGACAATGATTTAATTTATTTTTAATCAATAATAAATTTAAAATAAAAGTATCTACATAGGTATACCTAATAAGTATACATGAATTAAAATATTAATAGCAAATAATTCGACTCCAAATGTCAAACTTTCATATTATAATAAATTTTCCTATTCTAAAATGTTAATAACCTAACTCTATAACTGAATTTGTTTTATATTTTTAGGCTTTGAAACAATACGGCCATTACGAATACATATAACTGTAAATGTAGAATAGACGCTTTGGCTTTTTTTTTTCTAAACACAATATTTTTCGAACATAAAAAAATATTAAAAACTTCTATCGTAACATATTATCTTCTGGCGATATACAATTCAACGTAACTGGTTGATACATTTAGTTGGTAGACATAGGAAAATTCATTGTTATTATCAAAATAAAAAGTCAATATCTCAGTAAGTTCAAATGACAAGCTATACAGATTACTATGTAAGACCATATAAGAGGTTATAAACTATCATGGCCTACCTAGCAAAAAACAAGTGAGGAATTCTTTATTTTTATTTATTGTAGTTTGTTAGTTATTTTCCCATTCTAGTAGAACATAAATATCATATTTTCTAAAATATAAAACAGAACGTTTATCCACATAAAACATACATGTGTAATATGAGAATGCACGTTTAAGTTACTTTACAATTCAAAATGACTAAGAATATATATTTTTATGGAACTGACTTTGTATTATATTTGTACATACATGAGTATAACTTTTTATTTTTTTATTTTTAACATTTTTATTGTAAAATTGGCCAATTCGACTAGTGATTTTTTTAAATAGGCTCTTCAATGCCTGTAAGCTACATAGTTTCACTCTTTTGTCTCTATGCGTGTCTATATAGCGAGGGAAAATATTTTTTTATTTTTATTATTCTATATAAACCTTCCTCCATAATTCGAATTTTGAGCTATACAACTTTTAGTATAGTGGGTAGAAATTAAATAATTTCTCGGATCATTGACCATATGAATGCTTTCTAAGGTAAATAATTTCTATATTTATTTAACAAATTTTATAGAACGCCTCTATACGATACAAATATTTAATCAAAATAATATAGAAAAGACCACCACAACATCATTTTATATCATTTTATTTTACTTAATCTAATAAAAATAAAAATAAAATATTTTTAATTTTAAATTAGTTTTTATTTGAGTTTATAGAATGACTGTATATTTGCTTTATATAATAATAACCATAATATAAAATATAAATAATGGTTCAATCTAACTGTTCAATTGAGAGTAAGATCATAAAACCTTTTAGTTTATTTACATAACGGTATGTAACATCCGTCAAATCCATTATTAAAAATAAAACCATCTTTTTCCATTACAAAACCATCTCTAACCTACTCGCAACAGCACACTCAATTTTATAATAAAATTTTTAAAGAACACTTAAATCAAAAATATTGATATATCAATCGCCATTTTTTAGAAATAGAAGTCAAATATTGATTGCATTTATATATATTATTTTAATGATATATTCTCAATTGATTCTTTCGAACATTTTCATGATTAGTATTAAAAAAATTTCGTATATACAAAACCAAGTAGGGGTATAAATATAACACAATCAGACGAAGTAGTACATGCTTACGAAAGCCTATCGATAACAAAAACCTCTTAAGAATAGACATTTTATTTTTTTCTAATTCCATTGTCAATTATATTATATAATGATGTGTAACAACCCTCTCAATAACGGAAGCCTTTGAATGATGGGCATTATTTTGGGGTCTCATTGATGTTTGGTGAACAAACACTTTACACAAAGCGTGGAATACATGGGCAAACAATTGTTAACTTAATTTTTACGTGAACTGTGAAGCCATTATCAGAAATAACACATTTGCAATAAGCAATGATAAAAACCAAATACTCTTCGGGGATTTGGAGAGGACAGATCACTGATTTGAGTAAATCATACGCCATCGCTTTAATGACACAAAGACATTATTAGAGTAGTGATATAAATATGAATTCGACGAACATAATGTTGTGCATAAATATATACGTGCGAGTAACACCGATTTTATGGAGCTCGAAAGGTACGATATAAATCGTAGATAGGACATATGTATATTATATTTTGATCAGGTCTCAAATTGCAAAAACTATTGGTGATAAATATTAATAAACAGTTATTCTATGGTCGGTATTATTAGTTCAATAACATATTATTGTCACTCTGTAGAACGTATTTATGCAATAACAATTTTAATGGAACTATAAAATTCGCTGCAAATTTAGGTGTCGATATTTATAAATCGTTTACAAAGATCTCAAGACAAATAATATGCAACATTTTATTATTTTAAAAATAGAAAATTATAATTCATAAAAAAATGTTCACTAAATTTCGATAATTTAAGTGTACACGTGATTAAAAAAGTTATTGAAACACGAAAAATGTCTAACACAACTTTAAGCTATATTTTATTGTCTCGATACACTGAAATCGCGATTCAAAATTTGAAGTATGATAATAATAATAGTAATAATATGAAGTTTTTAAAGTATCAAATTACTGTAATATTATAACAAAAAACCATTGTAAACAAAGGTTTATGATTTATATTAAACTTTCTTTAGATACGATATGAATTGTAAATGACGTGATATTAAAATTACAAAATACAACATCGAAAGTTACAATTTCAATCAAAATAAAAGATAAATTAAAATAATATCCCCAGTAGAGTAATTATTGTAGTTCTTAAAACCGAACTCGTAATATTTTCAACAAATATTTGGTAGTAAGTACAAATTTTTTAATCAATATTCTGCTGTGAAAAGCTAACATTATAACTCTATATTAGGGATGAGCAACTCAAAGTAACTAGAGGGCCAATTTTTAAAACTTTAATATCTGGTGGACCATAGTATAGAAAGCAAAACTGAATAAAAGGTCATTAAAATTGACAATTAGCATTTATTTTAAATAATTTGATTTTACGACTGAACCAATACAATAAAAAAGTGTCAAATACCTATAGCTATATTGGCTAACAAATATGGTTATACATTATATTTAGACATTTCATGATTAAGCTCGAATCCAATACTATAGAAAAATATAATACCTACATTTTACGATAAAATAGTTAAAATTAAATACTGATAAACGCTAAAATGTTATGAAGTAATTTGAAAAAGTAGCACGAGCCAGATAAAAAAAGTATTCGACTCGGATGCAGCCCACGAGCCACCAATTGCCTATTCCTGCTCTATATGAACATCTCAGAATAACTAACCGTACAATTTCACTGTTTTTGTCATTTTCAAATAAAACCGAACATTTAAATTTTTACATTAATTTAACAATTAATCCAATTTCATGTTTAAAATGCTTATGAGAAGATTTAATTTTAAAATTAAGTATTATTGTTTACTATCCTGAAACGTATTTTCCAAATAAATACAATACAAATTTCAACTTGAATAGGTATACAATTGTAAAACTATGTTAAATTCCTCGCTGTACCTTTCAGAATCTAAATCGCAAAAAAAAAAAAAAACAATGTCAGCCAAAGCAACACAGTATTACGTCCTATACAAACATACACGTCCAATTCAAATAAGATTCTCACCAATTTCATTCCATTCCATGGATACCATTGGGATTTATATTTCCGTGATACCGATTGTATTATTTACTTGTCAGTTGTCACAGGTTATAAACGAATTGTTTATAAATTATAGTATACGTTAACGTTTCAGAAATATTGCACTCTACTACAAATATATGGGCATCGAACTAATTACACATCTATATACTACTATAAAAGTATTAATTAGATCTGTTTATTATTATTACTTTGTGTTCTATAAATTCACCATAATTTCTTTTCGCAGCCATTACTAATTAATGTGGCTGCTTTCTACCTTGTTCCCTTCCGTAGAGCACCAAACACGGCCGAAATCATGCCCTGCGTCTCATGATGCGTTTATCAAATGAGTAACCGTCGTGCCTATAACTCAAATACATATGCTTTGTACCTGCTGAGTTTATTTTAATGTAGTTATATAACATATTAACATTATAATTAAATATAAAGTTGTTGTGTTATCCCGTTATGGAAACAAATAAATAAACTTAGTTATAGGTGGTACTGTAGTATATCATATAATATTTCTTTAGTACGTCATATTATATATAATCCTCCAAATTAAATTTATTATTTTTTATTTATATAGCTTAATGCGCTTGTAATAAATTAAAAAATATTACCTCATTTATTATGAAAAAATTAAAAACTAAATATTCTAAGATGGGGGCCAGATTGTTAATTTTTAATTTTCCCCAATTCTTTAGAAATATTTTTAACTTATCTAATAACTAGTATTTAACCAAAATATCACCTAACCCTTTCAGACCCAGTGTCCTCTATAAGAGACAGTATATTATTATATTTATTACAATTGGTATATTGGTATATATTGGTATACAATCATATATTGAATTTATAGGAAAAACACAGTAGAATCCGAAAATAGTTCCATAAATGATTTGGAATTTGAATTCTCAGATATACCTGTATATATACATTCTTATCCGATTTTATTTCACAGTTAGGTATTCATTTCTTGAAAATGGTGTGTACAAATGTTCGTAGTTTAATAACCGATAATGGTAATATATTTTTTTCTCATTCGTTAACAACTACTGTAGTATTTTGAACTGATCCCCAATCTAATCAGTTTGATCAAACTCATTTTATGGTATGTTTTGTACGTATCTCTTAAAGTGGACATTGGGACGCAACGGTCGTATTTCGTAATCGTAACCTCGACGCCGTGCTGTATTGTGATTATTACGCGCACTTATTACGTGTACTTAGTAGTAGTAGTACTACCAAATAACTTTTATACAAATTAGCATTATTATTTATCATGATCTATTGAAATATATTATACATTTATATAATATTACCTATATTATAATATTTATGATAATTATTTTATTATTATATTTATTTAATTATTTATTATATACTAAATGGCTAGAGGGTTACTCGAACATGACATTTTTGATTTATTAGGCAATTGTAACATATCAAAATTGGACAAATTGGTGTAAAGAAATATTTTGCAAAAAAATGTACACATATGTCTTTATGATACAAGCAATTGTTTTTTTCATTTTCATGAATAAATGTACAATATATTTGTTATTTTTTATTATACATAGGTAATCTATGATCATTTTTTTTTTATACTTGGTAAATAATACACACAAAAATTTGTTTGATTTTATTTTTATTATAAAATTAATATAAATATGTATTTTATTATATTATGTTGCGTTATTTACTTATTCAAAATTTTAGAATTTTATGTCCGTTTCAAATATTTTAACAACTATTATGACTCAATGTCACTTATAGAGAACATGCTCCTAAATTCGTTAGAAAACCAAAAAAAAAAAAAATAGGTTTTAACATTTTTTTCTCTTGTTATAATAAAGCCCATAGTAAAATGAATATGCAAAAACAAATTTTTATTCCACTAAAAAGAAACTCCGGTCTGAAAGGGCTAGAATAATTTAATAATTAATTAAATTATTAATTCGTTCAAATATTTTAGAAATATAAAAATGTAATTGTATTCCTTACCAGCTCTGGAATATTTAATGGATTGTCCTGTAAATATAGAAATTACTAAATAAAAATCTGAAAATTATTGATGGAAAAAGATAATTCATAATTATACGAATTCAAATGTTGTACACAAATAAAATTAAATACATACCTTAAAAATATTTCGAGCAATTGTTATGTCAAATAATATCTTAAAATATTAATTTATTTTAATTTTAAAATTAAACAATTATCGCAACCGTTAGTCTCAATTTTTTAATAAGAAATATAACGTACAATTGTTTCAAATGATTCCGTAATCAATAATTTTATTAAATTGGGAGGATTTTGTTGTTATATTCACTACAAAATTTCTATACATTTCTTAATCTAGTGATTAAAATCGTAAATCATTACATTATGAGTACCTATGACTTTCAATGAGTATCTTAGTGAATCTTTCGAATATTCATCTGGTGTTTTGACATTCCATGTAGCTTCGCGCAGAAATGGACGTAAATTAAGTGACATTAAATATAAGATTAGATTATAATAGAATATAATCTACAAAAAAACTAAATATCATATTATAATATAGATTTGTTATTTTGAATGCAAAGAAATGTGTGATGTTTTTATAAACACGAAAATCTGCTACTGGAGGTTACACGAAGAAGTATGAAAAAAGAAAGCAACGCATATACTTCATACACAAATTCTTAAATTATTTTATATAAGATTATATATTATAATTAAAATTATAAATTATATTGATTATATTGTATAAATTATAATGTATAATATTATATACACACAACTGTCGATGTACGGTCTGATTACTAATCTAATTATAATGGGTCGTGAACATTATTCCACGCGTATGATATTATCATCACTATTGTTTTACCTCCAGTACTCTTCTCCAAGCTCAGAAGTTTCCACTCCCCCATCCCACCTAACATTTTTCGCCTAACATCCGTATCACATTCGTATACCGTATTTCACCTGGGCGTAAAATTTTCGACGACTAGAAACTCCATTTATTTATTCCGCCATCGTTTTTGACCTCACCTCGGTTTAGGATTCAATTTAGAATTGAGAGCAGAAAAAGATCAACGTATAAATCGCAAAAATCTGTAAATTCTAAAATCTACAATTATGCCAAATAGTTGTGCACATATAGTTGTTGAAAACATAGCGTGCCACGGTTTTTAATAGATATTTTAGAAATAATGAAAAATTCGAGTCGTATGCTTGGAATCACGTATAGATTGTTCTGCGACAGTAAATGGTATATTAGTGTGTTTGCGTGCACCATCACGATACCACTTTGTGTCGTCACCGTTATTACCCCCTATCAATAATATTTTACATACACGATATCTTAACCTGACCTGACAATCAATTGTTTATTAGTTATCATTTATAACTAACGCGGGCATTTGTGTCACGTCAAAATGTTGACCTCGGCCTCGGACAGCTGGTACAAAAACTTCCGCCGTATGATCGAGTGCGTACTTCTTACAATAAAATCGGTTTCGAATCCTAGGAAATAAATGTCCCGTTGCCCACCCGTGGTCCAGAACCCGCCACCACCACAACCGTCTACGCAAGCGTTCCGACACGAGAACAAACACCTTATTTGAACACTAGGACAGCTATCTAAGATAAACTGTGCAGCTGGTACCGCGAGCGAGATGAGACGATTGTTAACGTAAAGTTCGGCGTCATGACCTACGTTTACGCGTAAGCCATTCCATAAATATTTCAAGTGCCCCCCCCCCCCCCGTCGGTGGCGCCGACGTCTGTTTCTCGTTGCTTAAAAATGAAATCCGAGTACGACTGCTAAAAATGTTAAGTATATTGCGTTGTAACTGAGATTTTGAAACACCCTTCTGTGCTAAACGCGAATTGCTGCAACTTTTTTCAGCCTTAGTACCAGTACGCCCCCGGTCAACCACGGGACCGTCCACCTAAATTGTAATGCCTAAAAGCCACTGACCCCCTCCTTCCTCCAATCGCGCGCGCGCGCACACACACACACATCCATTGTAATAACACAACCACCGTTTTCGAAGACGGTGAACAATGTTCGGGTCCGAATTCGGTCGTCGGGCCGTTTATACGCCAGTTCGTTAATAATACATATAAATGCTCGTAGACGTGTTTACGTATTTTCAAATAAAACAAACGGTCGGACGTAAAATATTTTCTTTTGAACGTACGGATACGGGTTAAATGTTTGGGAAATCTGTTAAAATATATATATGTATATATATGTGTGTAATATATACCTACGGCTGCGAAGCGGTAGTCCGCGGCGACGTCGTCTTCAGCGAGGTGGACGCAGTGGAGCGATGGATGATGGTGTGTCCCTTGGTCTCCGGAGGAACGGCCGGGAACGCGACAGCGTCCCGTGCGTAACGGGTGTACCGTTAAAATGCGTCCCTGTGCACTGAGCACGTGCGTTGGATGCGTCCCGCGGTACTGCTACGGGGCCGCGCGTACAATGGGAAATGATGTGGTGCACGCGTCGTCGTACCGGTCAGGTGTGCTCGCTTCGTCGCTCGCCGCTGGGCGGATCGCAGCGCGGCAAGCCAACACGAGACGAGGCGCGACGCGTGACTGTCCCGCGTCTAGCACGGCGGTGCGAGGCGGTGCGATGTGTAATGCGCGGTTTTTTCGGTTGCCGCGACCGCACGCACGCCCGCATGGCACGCAAGCACGCAAGCACACGGTAACGCGCCGCGCCACCTCTCGGATCCACCGGTAACCAATCGTTAATTCACCGGGCGAAAAATCAACACCTATTACCATCACTCCTAGACCGCCGCCGTACGGTGTCCGTGTCCGCGTGTGCTGTGCTGTGCACGGCTGGAAAAACGCCGTACGAGACAATGACGCGGACGGCTACCGTGTATTGTGTACGCGCGGGGACCACCGCCGGATCCGGGTCCAAGGAGACGAGTGCCGTTGGCCGGAGATCCCTTGAAAAATATTATCCGCTCAACGCAACGCTTATACGTTTATCCAATACGCATTGGGTGTATTAATAAACTTGGAAGGAATAAATTCGAGTTTAATAAAAAGAGCAAAAATATAACGAAACGGACGGTTTTCAATCTTATAAAATCTATAGATTTAGAGCCCGTTCAGATCTTGAGGCCCCGGTCCATTGCACCCGTTGCACCTCCACTGTTTGTACTACGCCACGGCCCGCCGTTAAGTATTTTCCGCCTTCCCTAGAGCAATAATCGCATTGACACTAAATACATTACAAATCGGAATTGTAACGAGCTGTAATCGTCCGCGGTCACTTTTCGCTTATCTTTAGTGGAGCTAATACGATAACAATAAATACGCATAACAGTAATTATTGTCGTCTGTTGTCGATGCTTATCTGATTTTGCCGCTTCGATTTTTTAAAATCGTACTCCGCCCTAAAGTAACGCATGCTTGCGCCCTAGCGACGATCCTGTCGTGCACCCGCCACGGGGTTGAACTATCACTACAGTAAGCCCCGATCACGTCCGGCACGCCTGTACACGTTCGATTTATTATTCAATTATATTATCGTTTACCTGTACATTTTGTACCGTTTTGCACAGTATATCGTTAGTTTTTTTTATAAGGCGCGTGTACAAAAGTGGACAAAGTTTCAAACTCTCCCTAAAATTGTAAGAAAATGAGCATTTATATTTGTATACCTACACTAAATATTAATCAGTAGTTCTATGGTACATGTAAAATACGTTTATTATAAAGAAAAAAACAACCTATCAAATTCCCCGTCATTGTTGGTTATTATTGTCAATAATAATTATTATTGTTAGCGTAATCCGTCACATCCTTAAAACTCTTCCCAAAATATTATTTTGTATACGCACTTGATTATTGTTATTATAATTTATAATGGATGACTCATGACTTAGACATCGATATCGATTTGAATAATTATATTTTTTTAATACATTTATGAAATATATGGAATATACTTTCTTTTAACCTTGTTTGCCAACCATTAAACATTGAGTATTTCTCCGAATAAAAACTACCCGGCTATTATGGTTACTGTTATTTATTTATAATTTTCCTAAAATCGAAATGTTAATGGACTTGTGTTAAATTTTTTAGAGATAAAATTACATAAATTACATTTTCAACGGAACAGATTTTTTACTCGACTGAAAATGTTTTTTTTTTTAAATATTCTTGAGTGAAAATATACGTAGATATACGAAATATGTGATTGGGGTGACAGGAGTTACTTTTTTTTCTTTATCACGCTCCTCATACGCACCTGCTATACTACAATATACATACACTATAAAACAACCCCGGCGTACACACTGAAACTCGCTCAGAATAATTATAATTATTAAATCGAGACCTACTCTGCGGCGTACACGGTCGTTTATTATTAAACACAGTGCAATCAGACGTTTGAGTTTATTTTATATTCTACATTTTAAAAATCGTTTATTTTAACTTCAACAAAAACAAAAACAGACGTGGGTAATACACGTTTAAATAAATTTTTACATGACAGCATATACAAATATATTTCCATAATATAATATTTTTTATTCGACTCAGTGGTATTTTTAATGACATCACGCAAGGTTCGGAAAAAATGACTATTTGATTTTGGCAAAATATTATGTACTATGAGTGGAATACATTATATTTTTCACAAATTGTTTTGCAATTATTTTTAAATTACATTTGACTCCTATCGTGGGCTCCGAAAATTTTACAATGTGATGTTCATTTTGTGACAGTAAAAATGCATCAAAAAATACATAATTCGCTATTACATAGTACTACATGTACTATAAATACATGTAGCTCCTGTAGCCTACACTGATTAGAAAATACATGTACTGCATTTTCAGAGCATAATACAATTCTTAATTTTGAATGTAATTTAATAAAATAATACGGAAATATGATATTGTTAAAGTTGTTACTGATAATAAAAATTTCAACCATATTGATTAAATGTATAATATATTCAATAGTCTAATGACTTATATAAATTAATTTAAACTGAAAATCCCAGTTAATCTTTAAATGAATTTATATTTTTTTTTAAACAATAAATAAACATCGAAAGACTGACGAATAGGTATTACACGACCGAAAATATTTGTGAAATAGTGAACTTTTGACCCAAAAATATGATAATAATAATGATTTATCTTAATAATTAATCGATTATATATTATTATTATTTATTATATGTGTATTATACAGTTGAGTATGGTATCAAAAAATATTTACTAGGTATAATTTTTTATAATGAACCGTGCTATATTGTACTTATATATTTCTGTATTAATTTGTATAATCTATTTAAATTAAATGTAATTGATGTATTTATATTTAAACCTCTATTCAAACTGTATAATATAATTGTTTACTCGATAATAAAGAATAATTATAAACGAACATTGATGAAGAAAGTTTTGGACTTAATTGTATATCCAATTTGGAATTTTAAATACCTACTAAAAACCATATTCTCATTAAATCAATAATAAAATGTATTAAATTCCAACGTTCAGAACACTGAAACGTTGCTGTTTATGATAGAATTTATTTTAAGCTACGGTCCGGGCTATAATAACCCGTAAGTATTCTCTGTTCGATTTTATAGTAGCGTGTACTGGACGTCACTAGTTTTGTCGGTTAGACTCCGGAACGCTTGTGAAATTGTCAGTCATTGATTGATTTGTAACAGTTAAAATGAGAGATGAGTTCCGTTTTCAACAGTTTTAGAAGAAGAAAAATAATGACTGCATCAATGGTCCGTCCGAGAATTTCAATTAAATGTTTCTTTGTCCACGTACAATGCATTTGCTTGTTACTTGATGGCCTCATATTACCAATGTGAGTTGAAAATTATTAGTTTTATTTATACCGTTGTCACCTAGTCTTGTCAAATGATTATCCTCCTTACTAGGAGTGTATTCTCGTGGGGGGGGGGGGGGAGACGAAGCAGTTGCCTCCATCCATGGTCTTTTTTCATCAAATTTTGATTATATTATATATTTATAATATACTAAGAAAATATATAAATATGTGTATGAATTTCACCCTTTCTAATAAGAAGGGTCTAGAGACGTCACGTTTCTATACATATACAATTATCAATATTATTGTTGTCGTAGGTGTGGATACACTATAGTGTAGGCTGTCTTTTTTACTTCTTGTGTCATAATTATAAGATAAAATTATTTCGGTCACCAGTCGACTGAAGACATTCAGAGGATCTCGGACAGCAGCCGTATAGAGAAGAATTATTGGTCTGAAATACATTTTGAATATCTGAATTCCATTCTGGAGTGCGGTATATTGCATTTTTCCCCGTATTCTTGTATCCAACTACTCGTATACTTCTGACACTTTGTGTAACTTAAGGAGTTTTTTTTTTTGTAGTTTACTCCAATGCATTTTGCTATGAAGTACGTTCAATGTCAGTTCTATTTATTTTGACTTAGTTGAGCCTTTCCAATTCCTGCTGTATACAAACCTCCAATAACCACTGGGTCATTATTCTGAACAAACGGCAATTTATGTTCTTCGTGTTCCTTTTTGCTATATTATGATTATGTATTAAACTATTTAACTTACATGTTAATTACACTTACGGGTATAAGTGACGATCCTCTATAAACTAAAATTATTATTTTTCTTATGATTATGCTATTGTTTTTTTAATTTATTTGAATATTTTAAATTATATTTTATAAATAATATATTTAAAATAATAATATTAGTAAGTGTATATTTATAAATATATACTGAATATTGCTTAAAAAGTTATATTATTGATGGTGTAAAAAAAAACTAAAATTCTTGGTCTATAGTACTTATAATTATACCTGTGACATAGGTATTAAATATAGATATGAATGAAATTCATAATTATTTTTATTTTAAATGAATTGAAAATCTAGTACTCAATACTACTTATATTTAGTAGATTAAATTGAACACAAAAGTGAGTAAATAACAATACAAATAAATAAATGAAACAAGCCCTAGGACCATATCAATAAATAAAGGCATGAACGGGGACACAAGTCTTAACTGGTTGATTGAAATAAAAATTATTACCTCCTTTATAAATTGATAGCGTCAAGGAGCAATATTAATTTTTACTCCCAATCTCCTGGAGTAAATGTTCTAACACTATCACTGACTACGTATCTATGGTAAGCTTCTTAATAAATTTATACACTGCTCATTTTTTTAATCATACATGATGATTAAAATATAATGATACAAATAAATAATAATAATACTTTTAAATTATTGCAACATATATCAAATTTTTATTTCTTCAGAGCAGTCAATTGTTGTTAATTTATTAAAATATATTCCACTATCTGTAAAAATAGATTCAAATAATATGCTGACGTAGTTTTATTTTCAAAGTTATTCAAGGTGACAGGACGTATAAATTATACAAAAAAGTAACAATCATCTTTAAAATACGACTTAGAACCGAATTACGTCTTCCAATTACGTATATTTTATCTAAATTCCTTTCATGCTCATACCTACCAATCTATTATACCACTTTCTCGAATTTCGATCATTTTTCGGCTAATTTTCATGTTCTCACATCATTGGAAATGAT